TCAAATTATATAAGAAATACTATCTCTGTGGGGCTGGGTATCACGGAGGTGAGACATTTTCAGGGGAGGGCAGGGCAGACTCCTCTTTGGTTTTATTGTGGGCTAGATACAGGTGGGGGCAGCCATCATGAGGGTTGAACGTCAGTATTAATGTGTCTGATTACTTCCCTGCTGGATTATAAGGGTCTTAAATTGTATAACATGCTACCCAGATTGGTTATTACCCATGGATTATATTAGCCGTTGTAGTGTGGGTTTTGTAGGAGTTAAGTGGTCTCACGTTTGCTACAGTAGATAACCTATAATATATTACTGCATTTAATCAGCTTCGTCTACTTAAACTCTAAACGCAAACGGTATTACTAACAGTATTTTTATTTAGAAATTTCGGCCACATATTTATATTATCCACGAAACTGTCAATAACTGTATAAGGATCTTCAATTCCTAAGAGTTCAAGTTTTTTAACATATTTTTCCTTTTCCGCGGGCGCGATTCTTTACATACGGTGAACACGTCCAGTGCCCAGCACTGGTGAACACGTCCAGCGCTGGCGAACAGCTGATTGTGTTTACGTCTGATGTACACCACTGTGGCGGCGGGCGTAGGTATCACGTGATTTAGGTCACGTGTTTGCAAGGACTCTATTGGCCCTTGGCGATGGGGGCACGCTACCTTGATATATCCGCCAGTCCGGTAGAGTAGGGGGGGGGGGGAGGTTGGGAAGTGTGTGTGTGGGGGGGGGGGGGGGGGGCTGAGGTGTGTATCTCTTTACTAATGTTAAGGAAGACACCCACGCTTTTCTTTATAGTTTTTTAAATAGTAGTCTATAATTTATTTTCTACTTTTTAGTGCATTATTACATAAAAGCTTGTTATTCAAACGTTTTTTTTTATGAATTTTTTTTCAGTACTTTGCATGTTTTATTTACAATAGAGTTACATGACTAAAAACCATTGCGCGCCTACTGAACGTGATGGCGCAGCTATTGAACGTACCGTGATGGCGCAGCTATTGAACGTGATGACGCGTGTGGTGTGGTTGGCTAGACATGCCTACTAATTCGGTCCAAATTTTAATTAATTCATAACAAATTAATTAGGCATCCAATTAAGTCAAATTTAATTTCAGATTGCATTGTCTTCATCTCTTGACCCCCGTGACAACTGTGAATCGTATCGGTCAAGTAGAAGTGTCCGAATTTTCACTCCTGCGTTTCGGTCTAGACAGACTTACGACTGACGACTGACGACAGAGGAAGTGAGTTAAATAAAAGCTTGTAAAAAATTCATAAAAAACGTTTTAATAACAAGCTTTTATGTAATAATGCACTAAAAAGTAGAAAATAAATTATAGACTACTATTTAAATAACTAGAAAGAAAAGCGTGGGTCACTTTAGTACCTATTGGATACCTTTACTAATATTTGAGAAGAGACCCACCCTTTTCTTTCTAGTTATTTAAATAGTAGTCTATAATTTATTTTCTACTTTTTAGTGCATTATTACATAAAAGCTTGTTATTAAAACGTTTTTTATGAATTTTTTTCAGTACTTTACATGTTTTATTTACAATAGAGTTACATGACTAAAAACCATTGCGCGCCTACTGAACGTGATGGCGCAGCTATTGAACGTACCGTGATAGCGCAGCTATTGAACGTGATGACGCGTGTGGTGTGGTTGGCTAGACATGCCTACTAATTCGGTCCAAATTTTAATTAATTCATAAAAAATTAATAAGGCATCCAATTAAGTCAAATTTAGTTTCGGATTGCCAAATGTGAATCGTATCGGTCAAGTAGAAGGGTCCGAATTTTCACACCAGCGTTTCGATCTAGACTGACGACTGACGACAGACTGACGAGGAAGTGAGTTAAATAAACGCTTGTAAAAACAGCATCCGTTTTGTGTAGATTTATCTATTGTACACATAGTATCTTAGTAGTGTATATGTTGTTTAAAGATTAACCTATTTTATTTATAGCATAAACACTGAGGTTGGTTTTTATTTAGTAATTATTTTGTAATCAGCTGTTTGTTAGATCAAGCTAAAGTCTTGAATACCTCAACCTGCAGTTCAATTAAACTTTATTCCAAAAACACATTTTTTTTCTCTGAAAGTCTTGGAGATTTGTGAGAAGTGGGTCATTGAATTTAACCATTAACAAGGCAAAAACAACAAAAAGTGAAGAGGAATTTAGTAAAAACAATAAATGGATGTTTAAATAAATAAAATATAGGCTAAAACCTGTCTGTAAAGATCAAACTACTCCATTAAAATGACAACGTAATGGGAGGCATTGGGAGGAACTAAACTGTTGTGATGAGAAGTGTGACATCTTGTCTCTGTTGTCACCAAAGCTAGTTTGTTGCATTAGTTTTTTTTTTAAACTTGTTGAAATTAGCAGAAAACATACAAAACTGATATTATAAAATGATAAAAAGAATAAAGAACTGAACCTAGCAACAGAACAGCCATGGTCGAAGACACCAAAACTGATTTCATAAAATCATAAAAAGAATAAAGAACTGAACCTAGCAACAGAACGGCCATAGTAGAAGACATGTTTAGGAAGTCCAAACTATTGTGACAAGACAAATGGTTATAGCCTCTTTAGCGTACAGCTAAGTAACGAATTGTTGCCGCTGAAATGTTGTTATAGATAACGTTTTGGTTGCAGAAAGGGAGGGGGTAGGTTTGCTTAGCGGTTACTGTCACTCATCAAATATAACATTTGCATACTACTACGAATAAAATAGCCAAAAACCTTTATATTTATATATTAATCAACAAAACAACTGTTATTAAATACCCAAAGAGAATAATTGCTTTAAATTATTCCTTTGAAACCCCAGTTAGGTATTGGTATTTTAAAAACTTGTTGGTTTTTTTTTTTTGTGCATAACATTTTGAGAGAAAATAAACATTGTTCTGTATATAAAAACGTATTTTATAGTTCTACACATAGTGAAGATGCTCTGATCAAGCTGAACCGAAAAAAAAATACAAACCTGTAACTTTAGTGAGTTTTAGCAGAATATAGGTTTAACGGCCATTGGACATTTAAATGCAAACTTTCTTAAACTGGTTATAGGCATGAAACCACAGCAACATTATGTATGTTTGGTATTTTATTAAAAAGTAAAAAAAAACAATTTTGAACAGTTAGAGAAACACATAATGTGTTCCTTTTCTTGCATTCAACACATGAACACATTATACAACATGTTGATGTCACATCAAATATGCAGCTATACACAAACAGTCTAATGAACAGAAAAAGTAGAATTTTGTGTGTGGGTGTATATATATATATATATATATATATATATATATATATATATATATATATATATATATATATATATATATATATATATATATATATATATATATATATATATATATATATATATATTTATATATATATATATAAATATACATATATATATATATATATAAATATATATATATTATATACAGAATGAAATAGACATTTATTTTTTTTTATTTCCAAAAATTTTGTTTCGTTAAAGAAACATTATCCTAACAGTATTGATTGTCTTTAAATCAACAAAACTACGTTGCTTATGAAAATCTCCCACTGAGTTTAAAGGAATCCACCACCCCCCCCCCCCCCTTACACCTCTCCCCCCCCCCCCCCCCCCAATTGTTTTTGTTTACGTGGTTTAAAAAACAGTTTTTGTTAATATTTTACCTTCATACTGGTCATTAAAAAATTAAAGCTGCAAAAATAATTTTGAAATTTAATATTTTAAGATTCAATGTCATACAATTTGTAAATGAAAAGAACTTGCGAATTTTCTTTTTTTTTTAATTTACATCGATCCAATATTTTAACGGTACATGACACTTAGGTTAGACAAAGTTGGATTAGCTGAGGCATTGGTCCATGGATTTCATGTCTGAAAATACTGTTTGAACTCATGATTTGTCGTGAAAACATGTTTCATAAACTCAATATCTTGAGAACATGACCTAAAAATGTCATGTTTATTTACATGCTTCAGTGTGAAAGTTTAGAGAAAAAAACTATTTTTGTATATTGTATAGCTACAGAAAATATTAAAACCATCAAATATGTGGACTCTTTAGAAAACTATTACAAATAAACAGCATTAAGGTTGTTAACAACAGCATCAAGGCTGCTAACAAAATCATCAAAGTTGTTAACCACAACATCAATGTTGTTAATAGCACCATCAATGTTGTTAACAACATCAAAGTTGTTAACAGCAGCGTCAACTTTGTGCAACAACATCTGTTTTAATAACCTTTTAAAACTAACAAAAAGATTACAGGAGAGTGTTCCCGGTGGGAGTCACTATTGGGATGACAAATGTGTTTTACAAGAGTACAGAACAAGACAAAGGAAATTTAAGCACCACTTTACAGTTGGCCAAACCTCTTGGCAAGTCAGGTATTTGTCGCACAATTCTTGAGGCTACCACAACATTGTGGTGCCAAGACCAGTTCATTAATGAGATGTTCAAAATTCAACGAAAAAGTAGACTTAATGTTAAAAATTCAACTAAAAAGTAGACTTAATGTTAAAACTCAACTAAAAAGTGGACATTATGTTCAAAACTCAACTAAAAAAGTAGTCATTATGTTCAAAACTCAACTAAAAAAGTAGACATTATGTTCAAAACTCAACTAAAAAGTAGACATGTTCAAAACTCAATTAAAAAGTAGACATTATGTTCAAAACTCAACTAAAAAGTAGACTTTATGCTGAGAAAATGTTGAAACAACAAGCCATGTTATTAAAAATAGTATTTCAGAAATGATTCCTCAAAATTCAAATCTATTTTTGTAAAACATGGAAGATTTGAACTAATATCAGGCTTATACAGAACAAAAGTACAAAAACAAACTGCTAACAATTATGTCGATATATTTTTGTAAAATAAAACAAAAGAAGGCTAGATCAAATATAAAGCATATAAATTTACAAAAGCTGCCAAAGATTTAAAAAAAAAATGAATCTATTTTTGTACAATATGGCAGGTTAGAAGAAATATAAGACTCATGAAGGTACAAAACAAACTACCAATGAGCACGTCGGAGCTGTTCCCATCGCCCTTGACCTCCGACTTGCTGGCACATTGACCGTTGATAATAACATCGTCTGCGTGCTTGCAGCATAGGACGTTGTCGTAGCCAAAACAGACTCTGATGGCGTAGTTCAAGCCCAGGTTCTCCCCCGTACCGCAAAGGTCGCATGCCTTGCACGTAGAGTTGCAGAGGTTGGTAGAGTTACGTTCCCTGAAGTAGCCAGGCTTGCATAGAATGTCTGTGTCCCTTGTTTTGTTGCATTTCTCTTTCATCACTTCGTGTTTGGTCTGTTAATGAGTAGTAGGTAAACATATACTTAGTTTATCGATTGACTCCGACTCACAGCAAGACACGGAGCGTTACAACACGACACGGAGCGTCACACGGAGTGTCACATTAAGAGACTGACGTCAAACAAGACACGGACGTCACAACAAGACACTGACGTCACAACAAAACACTGACGTCACAACAAGACACTGTCGTCACAACAAGACACTGTCGTCACAACAATACACGGACTCAAAACAAGACACGGAGCGTCACAAGTGGACACAATCACAGCTATACATGGAGCGTCACAAGTGAATACGGGACATCACAAATGGACACGGAATGTCGTAAAAAATGACGAACCAAGAAAGAAAAGGGACTTACATCATTGACGGCAAGACACATCCGACAGGCGTACTGCAAGGGGAGCCCGGCCATCTTCTTGGTCCTGAAGTAACCCTCGGGGCAGGAGTCACACTTGCTGTTGTTCCAGAACTGACCGGCCGTGCAGTTGGGGGTGCTGATGTTGGCGCCGTCTGGTAACATAGGCCTGGAGGGGATGTCGGGGTCACACGTGATGCCCGCGCTGACAAGGACCCAACACTGGGCCAAGACAATGAGGCAGACGACTTTAAACATGGTGGGTGTGGCCGTTTATAGTGGGGTAACAAAGCTGTGGATATGGGGATAAAAGCTGTTTTTTTTTAAAGATTTAGATAAAAAACTATCAGACACATTTATAATATCCAGACTAAGGTCCGATGTCCAGACTACAGTCCAATATCCACTCCAATGTCCAGTCTACAGTCCAATGTCCAGTATACAGTCCAATGTCCAGCTTCTATTTATAGAATGTCGTAAGAATCACCATCCAATCAAAGCGAATCAAAGGCGTATTAAAACGTCAGGCAAGTAGAAGACTGACCATAGTGTTGTTGTTGGTCACTTGTTGAGAGTCAGATTAAGCCATTACGCTAATTTTCTTCTGGATAGAAAATTCACACACAAACATGTAGGCCTACCCTTCGAATTTCTATCTCTAAAATTCGCTTAAATATTGAGGTAATTTTTATATTATACAAGCTTAATTCATTATTAGGTAAATTATATGCGCACTGATTTAATCTAATATATAAAGCTCAGTTCTGTAACGTGTGGCAAAAAACAAAAAAGTTTGTCGTTGACACTTCTACGGATTTAAGTGTTAGATTTTTTAGCGTGCTCAAAGTCTAAATTTACGAGTCGAAAAATTACCATTGAAAGTCTTTAAAAACAATTTTCATTCTATTTACTTAGAAGAATAATTTTTAATTATGAACGCGACATAAAATTTTTAAAAAGTGTATCGACGTTTATAAAATTTCTAAAATTGTGTCGGAAATGTATTGACTGCAAGTTACTTCCCTTTAATGAAAAATAAATCCTTAAGAAGAGAGAATTAACATTTTATTACTTTGTTTTTGGTGTTAAGAAAAAAAAAATAATTACACAATTAGCGGGGATTGATTAAGTGCAATGTCGTTAGGTATTTTTAACACTGCCTTTTATTTATTCTATACACTGAACATACTGTTCAATAATTATTATTTTTTTTTTAAATCAATAACATTTAATAAGCCAGGTCCTACAAATCATATACGTTTATTTCTTTCCATTTACGGATAAGCTTGGAGTATTATCATTTTTGTTCACTAAATTGAAACAGGCGCGTCCGCCGGCGCCCCTGCACGGTTTGATTTGGCACCCTGGGCTATCATGTGAGCGCTATGCTGCATAATTTTGTTTTAAACAGTGCGATAGACTATGGATAAGAAAGGTTACTATAGTCTTTAAGTGAATCAAATCCGGGCGTCCTCCGGCACCCCGACAGGGTGCTATTTGGCGCCCCGGGCCTTCCGGTGTACGCTATGGTATCTACGTTCGCGTGAGTTCAAAAGACTATAAATAAGTTATGCACTATAGGCGTTAACTAAGTTCAATCAGGCGGTGACGTCATGGTGCGTCCTCTGGCGCCCAGACAGGGTGCTTTTTGGGGTCCCGGGCCTCCCGTGTTCGGTTTCGCGCCTACGTTCACTAAAGTGAGTGCAAAAGACTATGAATAAGTTGGGGTACTATAGTCGTTTATTAAGTTGAAGTAGGCGATTCAGCCCCGTGAGCACTTTGCGTTTATATTCGCGTTAGTGTTTTCTTTGTGTTTAGGTTGGGTTTGCGTTAGTGGTTGCGTTTTGATTTGGTTCGTTTTTGTTCTTTCTTTTTTCGTTTTCGTTTGTGTTTTATTTTCATTGGGTTTGTGTTTGTATTTGTGTTTGAGGTTGGTTTTGCGTTTGGATTTGGTTTGTTTTCGTTTGTTTTTCTTTTGTGTTTTTTTTTCTTTGGGTTTGTGGTTGGTTTTGCGTTTGTATTTGGTTTGTTTTCGTTTGCTTTTTCGTTTGTTTTTTTTCTTTGGGTTTGTGTTTGTGTTTGTGGTTGGTTTTGTGTTTGGATTTGGTTTGTTTTCATTTGCTTTTTTCTTTGTGTTCGTATTAGTGTTTGTGGTTGTGGTTGGTTTGTTGTAAGTTTTTGTTTTCGTTTGTATTTGTAATTGTGTTAGCGTTATGTTTGCGTTTTGTTGTTTTGGTTTTGGTTGGTTGTGGTTTGGGTGGGCAATGCCGGGTTTATGATGATTACTAAACACACAGGTGATGGTCTTTAACAGAAGGGTTTTTCACAGAAGCCAGAGCAGGGCCTGGCCGGGACGGCTAGTCTAATATATAAAGCTCAGTTCTGTAACGTGTGGCAAAAAAAAAAGTTTGTCGTTGACAGTTCTATGGATTTAAGTGTTAGATTTTTTATCGTGCTCATAGTCTAAATTTACGAGTCAAAAAATTACCATTGAAAGTTTTTAAAAACAATTTTCATTCTATTTACTTAGAAGAATAATTTTCAATTATGAACACGACATAAAATTTTTAAAAAGTGTATCGACGTTTATAAAATTTCTAAAATTGTGTCGGAAATGTATTGACTGCACAGTTACTTCCCTTTAATAAAAAAATCCTTAAGAAGAAAGAATTTACATTTTATTACTTTGTTTTTGGTGTTAAGAAAAAAAAAATAATTACATAATTAGCGGGGATTGATTAAGTGCAATGTCGTTAGGTATTTTTAACACTGCCTTTTATTTATTCTATACACTGAACATACTGTTCAATATTTTTTTTTAAAAATCAATAACATTTAATAAGCCAGGTCCTACAAATCCTATATGTTTATTTCTTTCCATTTACGGATAAGCTTGGAGTATTATCATTTTTGTTCACTAAATTGAAACAGGCGCGTCCGCCGGCGCCCTTGCACGGTTCGATTTGGCACCCTGGGCTATCATGTGAGCGCTATGCTGCATAGTTTTGTTTTTAACAGTGCGATAGACTATGGGTAAGAAAGGTTACTATAGTCTTTAAGTGAATCAAATCCGGGCGTCCTCCGGCACCCCGACAGGGTGCTATTTGGCGCCCCGGGCCTTCCGGTGTACGCTATGGTATATACGTTCGCGTGAGTTCAAAAGACTATGAATAAGTTATGTACTATAGTCGTTTACTAAGTTCAATCAGGCGGTGATGTCATGGTGCGTCCTCTGGCGCCCAGACAGGGTGCTATTTGGGGTCCCGGGCCTCCCGTGTTCGGTTTCGCGCCTACGTTCATTAAAGTGAGTGCAAAAGACTATGAATAAGTTGGGGTACTATAGTCGTTTATTAAGCTGAAACAGGCGATTCCGCACCGGGCTAGACTCTGAGCACTGTGCGTTTATGTTCGCGTTAGTGTTTTCTTTGTGTTTAGGTTGGGTTTGCGTTAGTGGTTGCGTTTTGATTTGGTTCGTTTTTGTTCTTTCTTTTTTCGTTTTCGTTTGTGTTTTATTTTCTTTGCGTTTGTGTTTGTATTTGTGTTTGTGGTTGGTTTTGCGTTTGTATTTGGTTTGTTTTCGTTTGCTTTTTCGTTTGTTTTTTTCTTTGTGTTCGTATTGGTGTTGGTGGTTGTGGTTGGGTTAGTTGTTAGGTTTTTGTTTTCGTTTGTATTTGTAATTGTGTTAGCGTTATGTTTGCGTTTTGTTGTTTTGGTTTTGGTTTGGGTGTGCAATGCCGGGTTTATGATGATTACTAAACACACAGGTAATGGTCTTTAACAGAAAGGTTTTTCACAGAAGCCAGAGCAGGGCCTGGCCGGGACGGCTAGTCATGAGATAAAATAAGACAAAAGCATGAGTAGCTTTGTTAACGACTACAGCTTTGATTTAAGGGGGTCACGGATAAATGACGTCACACTCCTTTGGGGTCGGGACCTGTCTTTTGAGACGACGTGTAAGTAGGGGAGGGGGTGGGTTAAAAATGATGTGACGTTAGCTTCAGCTGACTTAAGTTTCACACAAGCGGAAAGTTTATCTAATCTTATTCCTGCACTGGTTAAATTTGTGTTATTAAGTCTGTTAATACAATTTGTATTGAGTTGGATTATTAAGAGAGGTAATACAACTGGTATTAAGTTGTATTATTATGTGTGTGCGTGTGTGTTTGAATGTGCAAGTGTATGTCTATGTGTACGTGTATGTGTATGTGAATGTCCATGTGAATGTGGGGGGGGGGGGTAGTCAAGCAAATAGTAGTGACGTGAATATGGAGTACGAATTGCTTGTAAACTTTCCATATTTTAAAACTACACAGATTTTTTGTTGTTGTACAATCTACACAGCTAAGAAAAAAGAGTAGGCCCTATAGAAATAATGCCACTCAGCAGTATCAAACCCGGCTTTTATGCTGGGGTCTGCCATCCTGCCTTCCGCCTACTGCATACTACATGGCTGGTTACATAGGTCGCGGCACATAGACATCAACTGACGCGAGTCGGTCGTGTTTAAATTGTAAGAAATTCATCACAAACACAGCTCTTCATTGCGGGGAAATAGATCAAATGGCAGTTCACATTTGCTATACGGTGCAGTTTTTCAAGCAGTGTCAAGTAGTAACAGAGTGAAAATATAGAGAAACACTTAGCGATTGTTTAGGTATATACATACAACTGCAAACTTAATTTAAAATAAAACACGCCTTTGCAAACAAATGGATAAAAATCATTTGAAAATTGTCATCATTTGAAGCTATCGAAGTATTCAAATATCTACGGCCTCAACTTTGTATAGTTGAATACGATGCTCCCCAATGCAGGCCTGTTACACCTCGTTTACACTTGCGACATGTATACTATACAAGTGGGAAAAAACAATTTCGCCTTAAGTATGATAAGTTAATCAGAACATGTATGGGTACTGACGGTGCTACTGGGTACACTGTGGGTACTGATGGTGCTACTCGGTACACTGTGGGATGTGTAAGCCTACTTACGGTGCTACTGGGTGCACTGGGTACACTGTGTATGGGTACTGACGGTGCTACTGGGTACACTGTGGGTACTGATGGTGCTACTGGGTACACTGTGGGCTGTGTAAGCCTACTAACGGTGCTACAAGATGCACTGTGGGCTGTGTACGCCTACTGACGGTGCTACTATGTACTGAACCGTGAACAGTCACGCATCACGTTTACCGCTGGTTTACCAGGTCATCGTGGGGGGGGGGGGGGGGTGAGGGGGGGGGGCTAAGTAAAACCCTTAACTCTTAGACCTTTGGAACTGAATCACAGCCCA